GTGGAGTCACCATCCCTGGAGGTATGTAAGACGTGTAGATGAGGAGCTTCGGAACATGGTTTAGTGGGCATGGTGGTGTTGGGTTGACGGTTGGACTCAATGATCTTTGAGGTCTTTTCCAACCTTAATGATTCTATGATTTAAATGCTTTAGGGGAGAAACTAAAACCCTGCAGGGGACTCCAGTGCTCCAGCAAACGTTTTGTTGTTGTTTTTGGGTTTTTGTTTGGGGTTTTTTTGTTGTTGTTGGGTTTTTTTTGTAAGGAAACAACACTTAAAATGAACCAGCACACAACTACCCAAAGCCTGCCCTCTGCAACCCAGGCAGGAGCACAAATTCAGCAAGGGCAGGGATGTGTCAGCTTCTGCCTGTTTCAGTTCACCAGTTAGTATGAACTTTATCTACTCTAGATGTACTTTGTCCTTTCTCCCTGGATGGTAATTCCCAGGTTAACTCTTTGCTGTATAGAAATGTGAGCAGTGTGTTGCCTACATCTTCTCACTTGATGCTACAGGGACAGAGTGCCCCACAGCAGATGGGAAGATGATCCTTTGCACAGCTCAAACTAGGGATAGTTTGAGCAAGTTTCAGGAAGCTTGATAGTTTCAGCAAGTCTAAACTTGCTGATTAGACTTTGTTCCAGCTGCAAGACAAGTCACTTAACCTCATACAATTGCATCTGGTGGATGGACAACAGAAACAAAGATCAACACCTACGAGGACTGTGTAAGCAGTTCTGAGCTTTTGAGGAAGAAACTGGCTAAGGACAAAACACTGCTGCTCACAAGCTAGCGTAGGACTCGCTGTGCCTTGAACTCCCCAAGGCCCAGGCAAAGATGCTGGCACATCAATCCTATCTCACATGTAGCAGCAGGGCAGTACAGCCAAGGCCAGACGTACAGAAAAAAGCACCTGTACTACACAGGCTAAAACAAAACGTAGGGGATGAAAAAGCTCTCCCCCACCACATCCCTTTTTTGGGTACCCTTTTCAGCCTCTCAGATGTAGTAAGCTTCACTCTTTTATGCCCAAACCACGTGCTTGGGGACCCCAAGGAAAGAACACAGCTCCCTTTGCCAACTGCTCAGTGAGAATAGCCCCATCTAGTGCTTATTTGATTTATTTTGACTGTATGTGTAAGCATTGTTCAGCCACACACACATGCTCCCTAATTAATTTTTTCTGAGGCTCTGCTGCCCTGGATGAGAAACTAAGGACTCCTTATTGCAATGACGTGCTTTGAACACAGATATCCCTGAGCTATTTCTTCCCAGTGGAGCTTTTAACCTGTCAGGAGCTTATTTTCCAATCCTCTTTCAGCACCACATGCCATAGCTACCTACCTGGAACACCATGTGGCTGACAAACGTGTGCTTGGTGCAACGAACCACGTACTCTGTCTCCAGCTCTGTCAGGGCGACAGGCTCTGGGGAAGACTTGAAGAGCGGGCCCAGTCCCCGAAACTCTGGGATTGCCCCCAGTTGCTCTGAAACAGAGGACATAGAAACCATTGCCTTCCCCAACCCACAGGAAGGTGTTAGCTGTTTCAAAGCCCTCGTTTAAGCTGCCAGAAGCTGCTGCAGCAAGGACCTATGCATCAAATATCCATAAACATTCACTAGGGACTTGCAAAATTAAAGGCAGAGTCACCCTTTGCCCACATCTATTGCAAGATAGAAAGAACAGGACTGCAGGCACCCCCACCCCCCAGGAGTGAACGGTTGACTTAAAGTTGGGAGCCCATATCACTCTCCGAAAGAAGATGGGAAAAAACCAGAGGGGCTAAGCCAGGCTCAGCAAGAGGTGGCTGTGTGTTCTCACACACAGGCATAGGAAAGGCCTTGCATCAGTTTACCTTGGAATATTTCTTGCCGTGTTGCTGCCACCTTCTCTGGCTGTTTGACTACAGCAACAGGGGCATTTTCTGCAAAAGAAAACAAATAAACAAACAAAAACACCCCAAAAGATTTGAAGGTGAAGAGTAAGAAGTAACTAAATCAGAAAACAGATCGATGTCTGGAGAGGGAGCTCATTTCTCGTCTTACCATGGACTAGACACCCGTATTTAGCTTCCTAAACACCTCTGGAACTGCAGCAGCTCCAATGAGGATTACCAACTATTACTATTATTAGCAATTGGACTAAACTGAAACACTAATGTGGGAGCAACCAGATTTGCTGGCCTTAGTCTTTACAGAAGATGTAATCCCACAAAATTCAAATAGGATGGAGCTCAGCAATTCCCAGCAAGCCCAATGCAGTCTGTTGTCCGAGGGCTGGAGCTGCAAGGGAATTACTAGCAGTTTGGACCAGCATTCAGGGAACTGTTCCTCACCTGCTCTTTGCTCGACGATAGGAGCTGTTGCCAAAGGAACAGATTTCAAGTCAAAGGGTTTCTCAGAGGGCTCCAGGGTGTACTGATGCAGAGCCCTCTCCAGGCCAGGGATGGACACTGTCAAACCTGGGGACAGAAGGGACAGGTCACTGAAAACATAGATAATGCCAGCTCTCTGTCACTTGTTAAACCAGGAAAGAGGTACAGACTTGTTTTAAAGACCTCCTGCATTACCATTCAGGATGTAGCCAGCATTGAGAGCTTTTTGCTTCTGCTCCAGAACATTCAGGTAGAAGGTGGCTCTGTCTCTCACTTCGTTGTCATCATCCATCACACACCTGAGAGGAAAGTGAAAAACTTTCTTCAGTGCAAGGCAGCAGGGTCCACACGAATGAATCCAGGTGACTAAGCCACCTTACAGGGCCAGAAAGAACATGCCATAGGAGACAACCAGCAATCTACTAGTAATTGTATCAGAAAAGCAATCATCTGCCACACTTGACTTCTGTCCACTTTGTAGTGCTGAATGTAGTGGTGATCCCATCACAGGATCGCAGGTACCCACTGCACCTTCTCAGATCCACAGCTAGAAGAGACTACACGTGCATGGGGATGCTAACAAGCTCTCAAGTGAACAGGGTTTTTCACCCAGGATGTTGAGAAACTCTGAGGTACAACTCACCTTTTCAGTAACACCAAGATACTGGGTAACATCTCCTCATTCTGGGCTCCAAACTTAGCCAGGGCACTTACAGCACCTGTAGCACAAGTCACGAAAACAAGATTAGAAAGCAAATAAATCAGCTCAAGTTTCCTCCATTTGCTGGCCTTGATCAAATGCCACGTCAGAGATGCTAGCACTAGTATAAAGCATTACTGTGACTAGAAAGAGACAGATGTATTACAGCGAAGTGCCTGCAAACCTCCTCCGCCTAGTTTCAGAGTCACAGCATCTCCCTCCCCATTTCTTAGCTGCAGGCCACCTCTTCCATCAATACTACTGCAGGATCTTTGCTGTGTAAAAAGATCTGCTCAGGACTAGAGCAAATCACAATCCTCAAAAGCAGAGGTGTTCATACACTGTATTTCCTTGAAGATCTGTTATAGTGCAGACAGCCTTCCAGGTCTGTCTCTTACCTGCCCGGACTTCTTCATGCTCCAGGACAACCCTGTTGTAGATGAAGCGAATGTATTTGGAGGGGTTGTTGGTTTTGGGCCCTTCCTGCCCCAAGAGGTGGAGGATACGAGTGGCCAGCACAGTGAACTCGCAGTCCTCGATGAATTCACAGAGGTGAGACAGGCCTGTCTCTTTGCTCTCCGAGTTCTCCTCAATGATGCTGATGATGCAGTCCACGATGGCTCGCTTGTATTCAAAGCCACCCTAAGGAACAAAAGGGAACTACTCAGCTGGAAATCTCAAAGTATTTTAGACTCTGAACTAGCCAGACAGGAAAGAATATCCTTCAAAAAGGTCACTCACACTCAGTGCTTTTAATGTGTGTTTGAAAGGAGAAGGGCAGTAATGCTGCTGCCACTTTTGACCCTCTTTACACCTGGAGGGCCAGCTAATATTCAAGCTCTCTTGCCAGCTCCCTTCAGAACAGTTGCAGTGAAGAAAAAAAACAAGTCCTAACGAGGTAAAAGAACCCATCTGCCTGAAGGGTGACATAGTGCATCTCCTTCAAAATCCTCTGCTGCTAGAATTAGTGCATTAAAACAGCCATATGGGAGGAGAAAAAGCCCAACCCTCTCCCCTTTAGCACCAGACATCTGAGGATGAATCACAAGAGAAATATATTAAGGATCATATCTGCCACAGCAGGACCCAGCAAATAGCCCCATTAGTGTGGCAAGACAGGCAATCAATATCTCCCCAGGCACACCCCATAACCTGACATGCCGTTAATGCTTGGTTATCTTCAGATATTATTTACTAGTGTCCTCAATACACACCAGGGGATTAAACTGCAGACTATCCTCTCCCAATTACATGCACAGTGCTGGGCATTTGGGGGATCTTTCTGGAGCTACTTTGGATTAAAAAAAAGCTTTAAAACAGAATGGTTTGAACTACAAAACCACATTCAAAATTGTACCATCCACCCACAGAAAATCTGGGAAAGGAGAATGGTCCATTTTTCACAGGAGCAAAATGAGATGCTCTGGTTTGTTCCCAAATGAGAGGCTGTAATTGGCAGAAAGTGATGTCAGAGCAAGCAGTGGTGCCAGCTGTGTTGCAGGCATGTTAGCTCATTTAGAAACAGCCTCAGCAAGCCTCTGTAAAGCTGTCTTTCTGCAATTTCTGTCTGACTGAATGCAGAGAATGGCTATAGGTACTCGTGATCCCTTCACTGCCACAGCACAGAGAACAGAACAAAAGTGATCCTGTGTCATCAATAAATAGGTTGTTACCAAATCTTTGTGTACAGGACAAAACTTCTTGGAATTTGCTGTCAAAGTATAAAAGAAAGCTGGTTCAAATGTGAAACACACATGGACTGCCAACAGATCTGTTGTTGCCTGCATTTGCTTTGAGAGTTAATAAACCCCCAGAAAAATCAAAGAATGAAAACCACATTAAAAATATGCCTGGCAGTATGCGTATAACCATTATGCACAGCTGGCCATTTCTGCCAGTTAGACTGCAAGCCTTTTAGAGAGAGGCTCTCACTGCACAGCATTATCAGTAAAAGCTTGACTCTCACAGGGGCCACTGTGCAGTCCTGCAGTTCATGCATACAAACAAGGAACACAAAGTAGTTGTCCTGCAAACTTACCTCTTCCCGAAGCATAGTGAAGAGAAAGTTCATGAGGACGGCATGTTTGCGAGGGTACTTCTGACACAGTGCATTGATGGCCTGCACCACTACAACCTGGAGGAAAAGGGGGGCAAGTAAAAAAGGATTCTGTCTCACCAGGCAGGAAAAAGTAGTTGAATTGTGTTAATTTTGTGCTGGTCCCTAGCCTGGAAACTACGTGTTTGCCTTTACTTATCCAACAAATGCAGTTCCAGGAGGTACAATCCTAGGAATTGGAGGAGATTGATCTTTATGCACTGGCCAGCCCCTCGCAAAAGCCCACACCCACTGGAAAGAAGAAAAAGAGATTTAATTCTCAAAGGGCATCTCCCCAGAAGAGAGCACGTGACTTTGGAGCTGGGTGCTGTACGACTGAGGCATGGCTTAGGCCCATAGCCTCAGATTTTTTCTCTTCCCTGCAAATGCTCTGCAGCCCAGCTCCTGGAAGCAGCTCCATGCAGGTTTCAGAGTGCACACACAAACATGGACAAAGACCAAGGGCTTTCTTCAGAAATCTGCGTGTCCCTCCTCCTCCCACTTCCTTACTTTGAACTCATCTGAGATTTCTGACATGAAAGAGGAGATCTGCTTCATGAGCCGGTCAATGCTGCTCTCACTGCCCGTTTTCAGCAGTGTGGTGATGGCCAGGGTGGCTATGCTGCGGTTGGAATCCGTCACAAGGTTCTCCAGGTCTAGATTACAGGCAGTCACAGCGGATGGGTGCTTCATGGCCACCTAGAGCAGAGAAGAAAGAGTGGAAATCACTCAATAGATGCAAAACGGCCCAGCTGGCAAAACCCACCAAGTCTCTATAAGCTCTCACTCCTTCCTGTAAAAATAAATGCTACAGACTGTACATGAAGGTCATCTCAGACAAACAACTAATCTGAGGCTAAAGTAACAAGCTCTTTCTTCCTGCAGAATTGCATCTCTTGCTGAAGAGAAGCAGTAGTAATAAATTATGTTACTATTTTTAACTCCCTCATTCTCCTCTATATATTAAGAAAAGAAAGCTACGAACTCCCAACAAAAATTTGGCGAGCCTAGCTGTGCAGAACAGCTTTGTGGGTGGAAGCACAGCAGTTACCAGACACTGCCATTCTGTCTTTTTCTTTTTTAGAGTTTACAGGGTCCAGGGAAAAGCTGGAGCAAAGATTGCCACGGAGCAGGCAAGAAGCAGCATCAAGGTTTGATCCCTGTTCTACAAGGAGCTCCTTCACTATGGGAAGCTCACAAGGGAAAGCAGTAGGACATAAGACCAGTGACACTCTTAGAGAGACCTGTGAAAATGACTGCTTTTTTTCTTTTTTCCTTCTATAAAGTGTTCTTTGAGGTTTTATTCCACTCAGAAAGCAATGAAATGTAAGGCTGCAGCCCAGGGTAGAGGTTATTCACACAAAATCATCACATAGTCTGGTCCCCTTTCTCTTCTGAAGTCTGCACCTCCCTGCACAGGAGAAACTATTACAGCTCCCAAGAGACTGGCTCCTACCTTGTTGAGGGTACGGACAGCTGCATATCTCAGTGCTGCTTTCGGGGAGCTGCAGAACAGCTGCAAAACTGCAAGGTGGGAAAACCAACACAGGCAGACGTTTAGGCAATCTATTATTGAGAAGCCTTTCATACCTAAAGCAAGAGCTTCAATGAAGAGATAGCTGCAAGCACAAGATAACTAGAAGCATGCTTAAGAAGCAACTGCGAATTTACCAGCTTCCTCCCTCCCTCCCTGTTGTCCCCTTTGCCATACATCCCTGCTGACAACCAACTAGCTCTTACTCACCTCCCTCTTCTTCCATGGTGTTGCTATCCTTCGCTCCTCTTGAAAGCCAATTTCATCACTTTGTCATCTTTCCTATTAAGTCAATTTGAACCGCTATTCTCCATTTCTATGCAAACCCTGTTCCTTTCCCAGGGCTGGCCCATGAAGGGCACCCTCCCTGCAGAGAGGCAACACACAGCCTCCCTACCTGCCAACAGTCCCAGATCAGGAGAACCTTTGGACTGGACTGAGCTGGGAAGGCAGGACCCCAACACCTTGGCTTCTTGCACAGTTACACTCAGTCTAAAGCATTTATCAGCCAGAATTCAGCCCTGTTTCACAGAAAAAAAGACCCCTCTAGCAATCCACACTTGAACACACCAGGCAAATACCTTTACAGGAGCAAAGCTATTCACACACACCACAGGCTCTCAGCAGCAGCATAAAGCCACAAAGGGTACGGCAACATTACAAGCCTGAAACTACACAAGGTCGTTGTTTCTTAGGGTAATCAGCAGGTGTCACCACTGCAGGCCCATAATCCCCTTGCCATTGCCATGAGTGCCACATTTACCGGAGACAGCCGGAGCCAGCTCTTTGGCAGTGCAGTTGGGCAGATTAACGATGGCAGATGCAGCTTCATAGACCACCATCTCATGCTTGTTTCTTAGGCAGCTCTCGATGAAATCAAACAGGGGGCTATCGCGGCTAAGGGACAAAAAAAAACAGAAGAAGAATTAAAACAGAAGGTGCTAACAGAAATGAAGAATCCGGCAGCAGAAATGCACAGGTCCCATAGACCATGGAAAGCTAAAAGCAGCCATAAATCCACTGTCCCCAGGTTTTGCAGTGATCATTATACTGTAGAAAGACAGAGAAAATGAAGAAGAATATCTCAATAAAGAACAGCTATGCAAAACAGCCCAGAGAAACAAGAAAGTATTCGATGTGCAAACATACAGACAAGACTCACAGAAGCCATCTCATAACAACCATGAAAGCATCCTGTATTTTCTCTGCTGCCTTTTACCCAACAATAAGAGGGTAGAAGCTGCATGCTGCTCTTCAAAGACAGAAATAATTGTCCCCATGAGATGGCAAGCGAGCCTGCAAGAGGAGATGAAAGCAGGACCTGGGGAAATTCTTCCAGCAGGGCAAAGGAGCCCCCTCACCTGCCAGCCTCTTCCTCCAGCAGCTTGCTGGCTACCCGAATCATCATGCAGTAGGCAAACGGTGACTTGAGGCCGTGGCGTGTGAACTTGCTGAGCATCTTGTTGACTGCCAGGCGGTCATTCTTCCGCACATGGTAGAGCAAGCCCAGAGCATGATACTGTGCAGGGAAAGATACTGTCACAAACCCACAGTGTGTTCTTTCCACTTTTATCCCCTCTGTTGCCCAGAAGTGCCTGGCTGAGCTCTAGCAATTTGCTCCACTCCCAGCTGCCGCTTGCTGTTCCCTGAGTTGGTGGTGGGTTTCCTACCTGCACCATGATGTTGTCACTGGAAGCTGCCTCCTGAGCCTCATTCACCCAGCGTTTTACCACATCATAACTGGTCTTCAGCAGGTGCTGGGGGGAGACAAAGCCACAGACAACCGTAAGAGAAGGATGGAGGAAGCTTTGGGAATCACAGCTCATATTAAGAAACAACGAGCCTTCCCCATGAGAGTGCTGGCGGGAGCAACTCATAGAAGAGCAAGGGATCAGCATGCAGAGACCTGGCCATGAGGCTGCAGCCTCAAGAGCTCAATAATCTCTCACAAAGTCAGCACCTCAGTTCACAAAATGGAGAATAGCAACAATGAAACCCTGAAACTCCCAAGATGTCCAGTCCCACCACAGATGACTGCTTCTCAGTTTGACTGTCCCTCAGGCCCGCCCTGCAGGGCATACATACCAAGGAGGACACCAGAGCAGAACTGGAGACACTTGGCACTTTGTCAACAATCGCCTGCTTCATGTAGCGCTCGATGGCCTGCAACATGGTACTCTGCAGGGAGAGGGAAACAACAGCTGATACAGAAAAGCTGTTAAGAGTGTGAAAGGGGAGATGCAAAGGCATGAAAAGCAGAGTGGAAG